TTTGTTTTGTTTTTTTTTGAGTAAAGTGATAGAAGTTTATTAAGTGAAGATACAGAAAACACTCTAAAGAGTGAGAGGGGAGCACATCTTCCAGTTTTTCCTGATATGATGTATGGGACATACATATTTTGAGACTTCAATGTTTAAAAAGGTTATAATCCACCTTCACGTTGGATTGCTCAATATAGAATTCTAGATTGGAAATAATTTTCTTTGGAATTTCAAAGCTATTATGTTCCATTTGTCTTCTGGCTTCCAGCATTAGTGTTGAGACGCCTGAAACGGTTCTGAAATGGGATCCTTTTTTTAAAAAAAAAACAAAACAAAACTTTGTAGAGCTGTATATGCAAATGAGTTATATAGTCATTGTGAGTATAGACACACAATGTTACGTTAGTTTTAGGTGTAAAACATAGTGATTCTATACGTTATGCTGTGACCACAAGTGTAGCCGCCATCTGTCTCCACAACGCTATTACAGTACAAACTATATTTGAAATGGGATCCTTTTTACTGAACTTCCCTTGACACTTCTTGACTTTGCTGCTGGAAACTTTTAAGATCTTTTTTTGGTCCCTAGTGATCTGATGACAACAAAGTGTGATGACATACTTTAAAGTGTGTCTTTTTTCATCTAGTGTTCTGGTCCCTCAGTGAACTCTCTCGATCTGGGAACAAACGACTTTCACTTTTGGGAGTTCTCCTTCAGACATTTGACAATTTTCTCTCTTACATTTTCAAACTGTGTTGTCTTCCACTTTTTTGCACCTCCTGACCTGATTCTTTAATTTTGTCATTTATCTTCTATTTTATCTATTATCTATTATCTGCTTTTAAAGAAATGTTTCTCAATATTATCTCCCAATCTTTTTGCTACATTTTTCATTTTGACTATCATATTTCAAATTTCAAGAAATACTGTTTTCTGGCTATTCCTACTTTTACAGAATCCCATTTTTTTCCATAGATGCGGTATCTCCCCTCATTCTGTAAATATATTAGTATTGGGAATTTTCAAAAGTTTTATTTTGCTCCCTACGTCCTCTGAGATCCATTTTTTTTTGTCCTTTTTTTTTTTTTTTTAAGTAATCTCTACGCTCCATGTGGGGCTTGAACTCACGAGATCAAGAGTTGCATGCTCTACTGACTGAGCCAGGCAGATGCCTTTTTTTTTTTTTTAAAGATTTTATTTATTGAGAAAGAGAGAGAGCGACAAGCAGGTTCCCCGCTGAGCAGGGAGCCCGATGCGGGGCTTAATCCCAGGATCCTGGGATCATGACCTGAACTGAAGGCAGACACTTAACTGATTGAGCCACCCAGGTGCCCCAGACGCCTATCTATCTATCTATCTATCTATCTATCTATCTATCTATCTATCTATCTATCTATTTTTATGCTATCTATTTATTTATATATTTTTATGCTAGCTATTTTTTTTCTGTCTTGAAGGCTTTCTTCAACCAACCTGTGATTTTAAATTCTTGGCTCATATTTTGTATTTAAGAGAGAAACAACAAAAAGCTGTTTAGAAACTGTAATTGGCAGACTGGCAGAGCTGGTTAATTGGTGGTTTCACTGCCGGGTGGTCTGGCTGAGCTATTTTATTGGGCACTCAAAGAGGAATCCTCCAGGGCGCCTGGGTGGCTCAGTGGGTTAAGCGACTGCCTTCAGCTCAGGTCATGATCCTGGGGTCCCTGGATCGAGTCCCGCATTGGGCTCCCTGCTCAGCAGGGAGTCTGCTTCTCCCTCTGACCCTCCCCCCTCTTATGCTCTCTTCTCTCATTCTCTCTCTCAAATAAATAAATAAAATCTTAAAAAAAAAAAAAAAAAGAGGAATCCTCCAATAGTATGGCTACCAAACTCTCCTGGAAGCAGAGCAGAAGAGTGACAAGGGGGACCCATCAGTCAGACTGTGGTATTCACTTAATCTCTTGAGTTGTACCTCCCTTGCCCTCAGGTGTTTCTAGTGCCCTTAAGCCCAGTGTCTCTCCACTAGTAAACTTCTGGATTCCTGCTGGAGTCAGAAGTGGCATTCTCCCAGCTATATAGGATGTAGAAGGGGATCTGGCTTTCTGAACACACCTTTAAAAATTTTCACCTAGATCTTATGTTTTTAGTTCAGTTACATCTCAACCTTCAGAGGTACCTGGTGACTCCAATTCCGGTACTTTTTTGAGACTACTGCTCAAATTAACCTTCTTGTGGGTTGCTCCATTTTAGCTTAGTTTTCACCTTTCTCTGATCCATTGGGTTAATTAACACTCCTCCATCTGCTCTCCATCTTGTATTTCTGTAATGCTGTCCGCTCTTCCTCTTCTCCTATTAACTCCATGCTTACAAGGGTATGACTTTTTTTTTTTTTTAACTCATTTACATTCAGTTTAGAGCACTTTTATTATAAAGGGGTCATAATTATACGTGTTCAACTCACCATTTCTAAAAAGTACTTCCTTGTCTTTGATTTGCTTTACTTTGCTGCTGCATTTGAAACTCTAGACCACTCATTCTAGAAACTTTATCATCCTTTGTTTTCTGTGGCCAGATTTTTTTCCTTTTGTCACATTATCTCACCTTCTTTCCTTGGTTATTTCTTCTTCCACTGCTTATCCCTTAACTGTTTTTGTTCCCCGAGTCTCTGTCCTCTTATGTTTTCAGTCACACATTTGCTATACCCAACTTTATCTGCTTACATGGGTTTAAACCACTTCCTTCATGCTGTCGACTCCCAAATCTGTGTGTGGTGCCAGACTCACATAAAACTCAGAAACAAGAGGAAAAGAGGACCCTGTCTCCCTATATCCTACTCAGGAAAAACAAACACACTGGAGCCAAAACAGGCCCTCCCTTTAGAAAAATAGCAGGAGTGAAGGAAGGCATTCAACTTTATAAAGGTAAGAGAAAGAGCCAAAGAAGAGCTATATTAGTCATGATACTGGAGCTTTTGCTGCAATAAAAAGGAATCCCTCGATCACATGGACTTAACACAAAAAAGCTTCTATCTCTGTCATGCAAAGTCTGCTATGGATTGGGGCAACTCTCCAGGGCAGCTCTTCTCCTATACAGGCTCCCTACTCCCAGCATCATCAGTTTCATAGGACTTCATTTCAGCACATGTTGTGAATCTCACCGCATTAGGAGAGGGAAGAACTGCCTAGTCGAGCACAGGCAATTAAGTACCTGTATTTGGAGGTAAAATATGTCAGGTTTCCATTCATTGGCCAAAGCAAGTCACACGGCTACCCCTAGCTTCAAGGGCATAGGAAAGAATAATCCTCTCTGGCCCTGAGAATTGGATACTGTTGAACAGTAGTAATTTATAGCATTGAAAATATTAAATTGTAAATAGAGAATCTGGCCTTAAACAAAGTACATTTTTATTTTCATACTTTCAGTACCTAATTTGGTGATGTCAATATATGTTGAATTCAGATAGAGTCTGGGGATGATTTGATAAGTCTCTTTGAAAAGATGTTCAAGAAAAGTCTGAATCAATGTCTCATTTTCTTCCCAAAACAAACAGGAACATTCACAATCCTTCCACTGACCTCCCTGCTGGGTTCACATATAGAGTCATTTTTCAAAAAATAGTACTTTCAGCATCTAAATATTTGAAGCCTCACTAAGAACTCGAGTTTAAAGTTTGCAAAGAAGGCATTTCAAGCCATACTGCTTATATTTGCTTTGATCAATATTCCTCCCCAACCTCAAACACGATGGGAGACCTGGAAAGGAAAAAATGTTATAAAATTTTGCCCTGAAAGAGACAAATAGGTGTGTGTGTGTGCATGCATGTATGTGTGTGTATTTGGTGTGCAGGGGCACTTTTTATGGTGGGTGTGGGACAGTCAGTCTTGTTGCCCATAGGTATGCTTAAGGACAGATAAATATGAGCTTCATGGAATATGAAATTAAGCATAGGAGTTTTGTGTGCCAACTGATAGCCCCTCCCTTACATTTTCTACCTTGCTTCCATAAGATACTATTTCTTGACCTGTGATGGGCACTTTCCAATATGTAGGTGAGATCATTAGATGACGAGAGGTAGTATTAAATGACTGGTGTAGAGGAATGCAAAGGATCCGAAAGAGAGATTGTCCCTTCAGGGTTTATTTTGCATTTCTCAGGTGTTCTGTAGTTCCTTTCTTTAATAAAAGTTTTGTTTTTAAAAACAAATTATATACATTTACCATAAACAATTCAAGTAACAGATACAAGTGCAAAGGAGTAAAAAAAAAAAAAAAATCATCCAATATCCCAATAATAATAATGACCAGTATTATACCAAGTGAACATTGTTCTAGGCATCTAATGATCTGAACACCACCATCCTCTGGTTTTCCTCCTACCCTGCTGGCTCTTCTGCCTCTTCCAGTCTCTCACAGGTGAAGAGTCCCAGGTAAGCCCCAGACCCTCTCCTCATCTCCGTCTTTACCCCAATGGGAACTTGGCCAGTTCTATAGCTTTAAATGATATCTGGATGCTGATGGTTCCCACATTTATATCTCCAGCTTTGTCCTTTGGAAACTGGACAGCTAGATTGCAAGGAGTTGGAACGCTGAGAAACACTGATACAGGCATGTTGAGAAAATAGAGATCCAATTGGATTCTCTTTCTTTTAGCTCTAACGTTACATGGGCCTCTGATACACTGTTTTACTGTTAACACTATTTTTTAAATCTTACTGCCTTTTAATACTGCCTATCATTTGTTGAGTACCTACTACATGTTAGGTAATATGCCATGTGCTTTAAATATATTATCTCATTTCATCCTCATGATTCTTAGGGTAGATTTTAAGAAATAACAAGAAACTCAAAACCAAGACTTAGAATGATAAACAACTTGTCCAACTGATACAGTTAGTAGATGAGTTAGAGTTAGGATTTGAACTCGGGGGGACCCATGCAATTTCTGTATGGCCTCCATTTGCATTTCAATGTAAATTTTACTATCAGTTTAACAATTTCGTACACACACATACAGAGACACAAACCCCGCTGGGATTTTGATTGACATCGTGCTGAATTTATAGATTAATTCAGAGAGAACAGACATCATATACTTTGCGTTTACCAAACTTTAATTGGTATTTCTCTCCGTTAAGTCTTCTTTAATTTTTCTAATTGCCTTTCGTGCTTTTCATTGTGAAGCAGCAATCCACGTGCCATAATTCTGATGGCGCTAGGGAGTTCCAGGGGTCAGAATCCTAAGGTGGGAAACTGAGGGATGAGAAGTGCCAAAAGGGAACTACAAAAATGTGGGCAGAATAAATGATTAAAGGTCCCACTAAATAAAACAACCATTCAGGAATTTAAAAATGGATAGGAATAGCTGGGTGTATAACATATCAGAACATGTACACAGCAAACAGCCTTGTGCCCTGCCAGCAAGAGAGATGGCAGGAACTCTGGAAGGTATTTGCATGATGTAATCTACTGTGGACTGTTGATTCAGCAGCAGCTTTTCATGAGGAGGAGATTGTGATTATTAACTGAGGCATGATGTCTGTCATCTTTAAAAGTGAAGGGCAGGCTAGGCTGAATCCAGGCCCTCCTGCTCTCCCTCTTCTGTAACCTTCTCCAACCTGCTGGCACTCTCTTCAGCAGCCTCACAATTTCCTCAGGACCTTCCTCTTGCCACCCACATGCGCCTGCCTTATCCTGTATTTCTCCATAGCTCTATACACAGACCCCAAGCCCTCCTCTCTCCCCATCTCCTCCATTTACTCAGATTTAGGATATTCAAATGTTCAGAGAAAAGGAATGGATAAGGGATCCAATTAGTACACATTAAGTGTGTATTAAACGACAGATAGCTAGGTAGGTATTTCTCAAATTAGGGTCCAAAGACATAATCCTAGAGGTGTGAGAGGTTCACAGGAATTTGGATAATGAGAGCTAATACTTATCGAGCACTCACCATGTTCTAGGTATTGTTTGAAATGCTTTACATGTATTAATTCATTTAGTTTCACTATAGCCCTATAAAGCAGATGCCTTATTTCCACTTAACAGATGAGCAAATTTAACAACATGCCTTTATTCCATCAGATGAGCGTCCGTGAAAGATTAAGTTATCAGCTCAAGGTTATAGAGCTGGTAAATGGAGGAGTGAGGACCCAAACCCAGGAAGTCTGGCTCCAGAGCTAATGACTTTACCTCTTTGCAATGCTGTCATCTGGGTCTTGATTGGGACTGGATGGTCCAAGATGGCCCCATACATGTGCCTGGTAGTTAGCTGGGGTTACTGGCTGTTGCCTCCTCCTCCATGTGGTCTTTCTAGCAGGATACTCCGGAGTTCTATGTATGGCAGCTGAATTCCAAAGGGCAAATGTCATGTGGAGAATTACCTTGATGCAATGGCAGGCTCCAAGTACACCACCACACAGACTCTACCATAGGTCACAGGACAAATGGGCTTATAAACCAAATGAAGACACCTGAATCACACTGTTTATGTGGCAGCTTTAGAACATGTTCCCAAATTCTTTGGCATTGTTCCCATTGAATTCTCTTGAATCTTGGCTGGCTTTAGTAGCTTGCTGGTAGCTAGTTGAATACAGGAGAAATGATGCTGCATGACTTTTTTTTTTTTTTTAAGATTTATTTATTTATTTGAGAGAGAGAGCGTGCACGTGCATGCAGGGGGGAGGGGCAGAGGGAGAGAGAAACTCAAGCAGACTCCCCACCTAGTGTGGAGCCTGACACAGGGCTTGATCTCACCAACCTGAGATCAGACCTGAGCTGAAACCAAGTGATGGATGCTTAACCGACTACAACACAGCGGTGCCCCTCTGCATGACTTCTTAGGCTATGTCAGAAAAGGCCATGGGCCTGGTTCTTTTCAGACACCCGCTTTGAGGGAAGCCAGCCAGCAAAGGAGAAGTTCTGCTTTCCTGGAGGGGCTGAATGAAGGTACACTGGTTCACAGTCCCAGCTGAGCATGCAGCTAGCCACTAGCCAGCATCAATCCTCAGCCACATTAGTGTCAATCCTCATCAATCCTCAGCCACATGAATGTGCCATCTTGGGCATCCAGCCAGTAGCTGCAGTTAGCTGACATCTGATTGACATCTTATAAGAGACTCTAACAATGAGCTGCCTAGCAAGGGGAAAGAGATGGATAGATAAACCAGCTTAGGACAGCAAGGTGGAAGACCACAGTATCTGAATTTTGTTTTATGCAATGTTCATATGTCTTAACCTCCCTGCTGTGCAGTCTTCTCTGCAGATGGTGTGGTTTGAAGGACCACAGAGGAAAGTAAGAGAGGAGGGCCTGGAACCAACACATATCTGTTCTGTCAGAGATGAAGGAGCAAGTGTGTCTCTTGGGGTTTATCTGCTTTTCTTGTACAGACTACACGAGGCCACAATGAGACTATAATGCGTGTCACTAGTAGGTGGTCAATATAGGGATGACATAGTTGTGTCTAGAGGTAGTATAATCTCTACCTTACTAATATTTAAAGTTCACTTGGTCTATCTCTTTCTATCTAAAGTAGCACTTTCATTTGTTCCATCCTTTTTATCTAAGATCAACACGTATCCATTTATCCCAGGTTTAATGTCTCATAAGCAAATTATGTCTACATTTTAGATTCTTATTTTCTATAGCAGACTTGAATAATCATAAATCATCCAGCAAACACATTACAACAAGTCCCAACGAGCAAGCACTTAGATCAGGGTTGTGATGTCCCACTTATCAGCTAAAGCAGGTCACACAGCCAAGCCCACAGTCAATGTGGGACAGGTCTACACAAAGGAATGGATACGATAAGCCATGATTCATTGGAACCACTATTCTAATAATCTACCACTAACACACTTAGAAAATGGTTGAGCCAGTTGTCAAACTGTCAGCCATCTGTTTCTGGAGTCCACCCACAAAACTGGTGTCCTAAAGACTGTTAGGAATGGGTTCTTAGTGAATAGCTTTTCCAAACCTCACTTCCCAGGCCCTGCCCCAAGCTCAATGAGTCAGAATCCCTTGCGGGTAAGAGATATAGGAGAGAAGAATTTGAGACTAAAATAACTCTGCAGAGGATTCTACTCTGGGGATGTAGAGGGTTTCAAAAACAAGAAAGACACAAGTCTTTACACCCAACTTCATTTACCACAGAGCACATTTTTTTTAAATAGTCTCTACACCCAAGTTGGGGCTTCAACTCACCACCCCAAGATCAGGAGTCACATGCTCTTCTAACTGAGCCAGCCAGGCACCCCTCACAGAGCACATTCTCAATTGCCATTATTACACAAAGAGGCTGCCTTGAAATTTTTTAAAAAATGCTTTTCATGGTTAAGTTAGAGCAGTGGTTCTCAAACTTTTGTGTGCATCAGTATTAACTTGAGGGCTTGTTAAAACACAGATGAGTGGGCCCAAACTCCAGTTTCTGATTCAAGGGGTCTAGAGCAGAGTAGGCCAATTGTCATGCTTAACAAGCTCTGCTGTCCGGGAACCACACTTTGAGAACCGCTGAGTTAGAGCAATAGAATGATTTAGTGGTAACATTCCTCCCCCGACTCACATTTATATATTGCACTTACATGATTATAGCGCATTTACCACATACCAGGTCTTGGGCTGGTGCAGCAGCGGATAAGACCCTTGGGTAAGATTTCGATCTTGATTGCGCTTGAGCAGATTTACTCTCTAAGTGGATCTACTCTCTAAGGCAGGAAGCCTAAGTGTCATTAGGTTCAGATAAAGGGGAGATCTTCCTTAGGAGGAGATAAAGGAAAGGTTGGAGTAGGAGACCGTCGAGCTTGGCCCTGAAAGAGGTCTAGGATCTGGACACGTGGAAACATTGAGAATCGCAAAATTCTTTTCTCCTTGGCAAAGAGAAAAACAAAAACTAAAAACAAACCTTGGCAAACAGCCCGAAAAGATCTGTGATATTCTTGCTCCAGCATTAACGGTCTGCAACCTGCTGGCATCAGAACGAGGAAGCGGATTTTTGGTGTCAAGGCCTCAGTCTCAAACCCCTGGCCTCGCCCTCCCTTTGGAGCTCCCAGGGCAGGTGCCTCAGAGACCGGAGTGCCTGGCCGAAGCCACGGTGGGCGCTCCAATCGCCAAAAGCCTGAGCAGGACCCGCCCCCCCGCCGCTCCGCCGTGAGGTTCCGAGCGGTGGTGAGGCCGGTGCCGGGCGAGGGGGCGCCGCACGCTGGAGCACCGCTCGGAACAAGCTCCAGGTTTAGGCCTGGCGCTAGGGCGCAGCGGTGGTAGCGGCACTACCGCCGAGCAAGAAATCCAGAGCTGTTTTTCCCCGTTCCCTGCGTTGGACTTAAAGGTGGCGCCAGCACTGGGATACGCGCCGTCTGTTCCTCCACCATCACGCACCGGAGGGGGTGGGGACTCCTGTGCACGCTCCCAAGTCTGCCGGGAGCACGGCCGGGGAGCTCGCGGACTGCGCTTGCGCGGCCCCGCCCCGTCACTTCGCCCCGCCCTGTTAGCCCCTATACAGCCGCTAGGGGTAGCGGCGGCGGCTGTGGTCTGGAGCGCGTCCGCTTTGAGGGCGCGGGAGCCCTACGGAGCGCCGACGAGGGCAGGCAAGAGGGTGGGAAAGCCGGCAGGAGGGGAGGGCGGTGCCGAAGGAGGGCGGTGCGTGGCTGACTCATCCCTCTGGAAGATCAAACTGACAGAGACAACCCTAGCCGCCCGCCCGCCCGCGCCGCCCCTCCTCAGCCGGGAGGCGCCCGCCCGCACCGCCCACCCGCCCTCTCCCGGCCCGCAGCCTCACAGAAAGTTTTTCTCGTTGGAGGGACCGGAGCCGCCGCGGGCCTTTCGGAAGGGAAGGGGGACAGAAAAGGAGGCGATCGACGCGCGGGCCCGGGGAGTGCATGGTGCCCGGCGCCTCTGCCGCCAGTCAGGAGGACATTGGGGCGGGGTCCGGCTGAGCCTACCTCCCTCTTCCCCCTGCCTTGCCAGAAATCGCCCTCCCGGACTGCCGCGGGGGTCCCCGCTCCTCAGCCCGCCATGTCCCGGCTGTTGCCGCTGCTGAGGAGCCG